TTTGATAGAATAAACCAAGTAGATGTCATAAATGTCATGTACTCCATCAAATCAAATGCTCTTGGAGTCGACATGCTACCAATGAAATTCTTAAAGGCTATTAGTTCTCAATTAATTGAGCCTATAACACACTTATTTAACACTGTTGTAACTACAAGTGTATTCCCAGATGCTTGGAAGAAATCAAAAATTATACCAATTAAGAAAAAGGCTAATTTGAACACATTAGAAAACTTGCGACCTATTAGCATCCTTTGCGCATTATCAAAAGTATTTGAAAAAAATGTTGTTAAGATGAACATTTGCGATCGCATCAATAGACACAATCTTCTGAATCAATTTCAGTCAGGTTATCGTTCGAAACATAGTACTAAAACAGCTATGCTCAAAATAATTGATGATATAGGTCTATTAGTAGACAAGGGTCGCTCGGTTGTTCTAATACTATTAGATGTTTCTAAAGCGTTTGATACTGTATCGCATAAAATTTTATGTCAAAAACTCAGATCAAATTTTGGTTTTTCCGATCATTCCGCAAACTTGATTAATTCTTATTTAAGTATGCGAACACAGGCTGTATTTAATAATGGAGTTTTTCTCAATTTACTTCCATAACATCTGGAGTTCCCCAGGGTTTTATTCTGGAGCCAATCTTATTCTCATTGTACATTAATGATCTCCCTGAAGTAATAAAGAATTGTAAATTTCATCTGTTTTCCGATGATGCTCAGGTATACTTTGACTGTGAAAGTAATTCTGTTGCTGAAATTTCTCAGAAAATTAATGAAGACTTGAAGAGGATCCTAGATTGGTCTGTAAAGAATATGCTTAGGTTGAACTCCAAGAAAACAAACGCAATTTTTATTACAAATAGTCCTTTTCAAAATATATTAAAACCTTCATTGCTTTTAGACAATGACACAATTGAATACGTCGATAATGCTACTAGCTTGGGTATCCGTATTCAATCCAATTTTGGATGGGATAAATATGTGTTGTCACAATGTGGAAAAATTTATGCTTGTTTACGTTCACTTCACATAACATCATCATTTCTTAGAACTGATGTTAAAATTAAACTATTCAAAAGCCTCCTTCTTCCTTATTTTTTGGCACGTGATTTTCTCCTCGATGATGTACGTTCAATAAACTTAAGTTGGCTCTTAATTCATGTGTTCGATATGTTTTTAAATTTAGTAGATATTCTAGAGTTTCTCACCTGCAACATCATCTAATAGGATGCCATTTGGTAAGCTTTGGAAAGCTATGTTTATTTTTGCATAGCCTGTCGAGAACAAAACAGCTCGGTTATCTACACAGATAATTGCAAACTTCACAAAGCAATCGGTCCATTAAATATATTTTGCCAAGACATCGCACGTCAAAGTACGGGAACTCATTTTTCGTGCGAGGTGTAGTTCACTGGAATTCTTTACCCAATAGTCTAACTACACAGTTCGAAAAGTAGTGTAAATTTCTGTTCAATATGATGCACACAAATGAAGCGTCATATATCATATAAGTTTACATTATATATCATGTAAAGTTCTAGCACAATTCATGCAATGTAGCAAATATTGTATACAAAATCTCATTTTTGTAAACAACATTGTTTACAAGTTGCTCGGTTGTGTGAAATTAAATTTAAGTTTACGTGAATGAATGTTTACATCACAATTAAAATTCAAAAAATTTATCTGTGTAATGTAAATTCGTTAACAGCATTTAAGAGAGGATGTATTGAGCATTTTAGTTGAGTAGTAAATGTAGTTCAGTTTGTGTTACGTATCAATTATTTTTTTTGTTTTGTAATATACTTGTGGCGCTTGTAATACTTTGATATAATCGATGTAACAGAAGAAAGACATAAGTCTTAAGTTACAAAATATAAGTCAATAAATAAAATAAAAAAGTAGAAGGGTCTGTGCCTATGGGCACGAACGGAAGCTTGACGTAGGACCGCTAGTGGATGGAACAAATATGAACATTTAGTTCTTTTAATTGATCAATCATCAATTATCTTAACTCTTTCCGTTTTTTTATTAGTAAGCGTATCAAATTTGTAGTATTTATTTTAAAGAAAGTTGATGAAGAGAATCCAAGGGACTGTCAACTTGAGTATTTTCGATCCATCTACCCGACTTTAAAAGGTGTATTTTGAATTTTTTGTTATTTATGAATTTTTAAGTCTTGTGCATTTTGGTATTAAAGTGTATTCAATTCACCCCTCACAGGATTTCCTTCCGAATTATATGAATGGGGCGGGGCGGAAAGTATTGTTTGTGCAGAATATGTAAAAAAGGAGGGACTTCGAGAGATTGAACTCGTGAGCAGGCTTGCTTCCACTTATTTGCTATAAAAAATTGTTTTTCGGAATTCTGAAATCATTAGATATTATAATGATAGTAAGTAGTTGTATGTCACAAGATAAGGTTGTAAACTAGGTGTTTGATACATAAAACCTGTCATTATTGCTTTCAGTGCGTCACAATTAGCGATTTTACGATTCGTGAGCGCTCATTCTGAGTGTTTTTATAGCAAAGTGAATGAAAGTAGCCCTGCTCGTGAGAGCTAATTTTCTCACAAATTTTATTTTATTGGCTTTCTGGGGACTGAATATACACCCAAAAGAAATATTTCCACTTCTCTCAAATTCTATATGGATGTTCAACACTTCCTACCAGCGTGTTCTGGAAAATGGTCGGACGATGATTAATCGCACCAATACATTCGGGCCTACAATTCCACACCTTCTATAGAGACCAGGTTGAGCCTTGATAGCTAGCTGCTTGCGGGAACTGATGACCTTGACAAATGTCCAAATAATACTCTTAACAAATTTATAATGGTCCTGAAAAGGACCATTTTGTAGTGATGGTTGAGTAATTCTGAGCTGAGTGTTCAACACGGATGAGGCTGTCGAGCTGTATGTCGTTTGGAGCGAGGGTGACACGCTTGCCATAGATGACCGACCAGCAGCGACTAACGAAGAGCTACTGATTCCGATCCATAGCATAGCAGCTTCTTCCTCCTTTGATGGTTGCTTATGTGGGCTCTGTAGCTCGCTGCTTGCAGGCAGCCTTTCGTTGTTACTGGAGAACAATTTCCAACGCCACACGCCGAAAGCACTGCTACTGCTGCTACTAATTTCGACGACCGAACACCACCACACAGTGGTGTGGTTGTTGGGAGCGTGTTGTTCTGAGTATGGCGATGAGTGTGCAAAATATTACGCAATTCCATCCTCCCTATTCGCACGTGCCCGAGGATCGGAGGCGAATGCCAATTCGACTTGTTTCGTCTACTTACTACTCTCTGACGACTGTGCTGGGGAAGCAGCATATGCATGTAGGTAATTGGTGGATTTGTTATTTAATTCGACGCTTTTGGACAATGCTGGACATGTACCAGTTTTTCAATAGTTTCTTGTTGAAAATCAACATCGATGCGTAGCCATATTTCTGATCGATTGGTAATAAAATTATTGAAATTGGACCAGGGGCAGCTGAGTTATTAACGTTCAAAATCTTTCTTAATTTGTTACATGTTCCACTTTCGGTTTTCACAAAGTGTACCCCCATATAGAAATCAAAGACGTAGTCCTGCGTCAAAATAATGCTCTACTTCAGCGGGCTTTTCCCTGCTCCATAAAAATCTAAATCTAAAAAAATCTCCATCATCGTTTTCTCATCCAATGATAGTGACAGAAATCGCTATCGAAAAATATCGCGTGAAATCTTTCATTGAACATGTCATTTGCCAGCCTTGGTCTGGACACGGTTTTGACGGATGAGGAGTTTCGAGTCTGATGACGTCAAGAAATATAAACAAAATTTAAACTTTTATTTATAAATTCTCCCATCGTAAGGATTCCCATCCGAACAATCAATCGCCCATGCTCATATTCTCCGACAATGAACACAACCTCCGTCAACTTTTGGTTGCCCAGTGAATTGACGATAAAATCCGCCAAATTAATTCCCAACTGAATTCAACCACAACAATACGGCCTTTGAACATTCAAGCGCCATCACCACGCCACCAATTGGGAACCGATGAAAGAACAATAAATTCCGCACTTCTCGCATTGCCCAAAACTTTTCCTGGGCGATGCTTGATTTGACTGGAGCATATCGCTGTTTTTTTTTAGTGCTTGGTGGAAAACTTTTCCCATAATTCATAATTGTTCGGTTCCGGTTTGGGTTCCTTTCGGCGGCTCGAAAAGTCATTCAGGCAAATTAGTGGGAATTGGATTTCAAGTATATCTAAGTGGAAAGGGTGAATTTTTGTGTTTACCAGCTCATGGAATTCGGTGTGGTGGAATGAATTTGATTTCATCGGAATATTGGAGAATTAACCTGGAAGTAATCGCGGAACTCACCCGTCTTGCAATGCGATGCTATAAATCTTGTTCGAATTCAGATCACTAAAAGTATAAACCGTAAATGTGCTATGAACGTGTGATGTAATTTGACTTCTCCACATGTATTATCATTACGAAACATGATACATTAGCATTATGATGTTTGCTATTTGCAAAACATAAATATATTGGTAATGATAACAAAGCTACACCCAACCACGATATTCAGATGGAAAACATTTCAAATTATCATCCCTTCGGCTACATTAAACTCAAGCGCACACAGGTGTTGATACTAATGTTCACGTTGTTGACGTTTGCCACCCTTGCCACCCAACTCCCACGGAACACACCTATATACAAATAATTATGAGCATTAATTGAATTTGTTTGTTCCCACAAGCATGGAGCATGGAGGGCGGTTTACTACTTACCCCCCCCCCACCCACAGACACGTGTTCGTTGCTCAGGTGGCACTCATTATCTCGAACTGTAATTTATGCGTTATCGCACGGAATTGTAGTGCGATTTTCCCACGCGCTTTCGGAGCTACAAAGTTTCAAGCGCCAAAACCGAAAAAAAGATGGAAGTTTCTTTCCGAAAAATTGAAAAGCCATTCAACATGAGGTATATCACAATGTGTATAATTCCGTCGGCATTTCGCGTCACTCTCAAATTTCCTTATCGATGACATCGCCAATACCCTCGCACAGTCCCGGGTACTTTTTGCTGCAGTTGTCCGAGCACTTGGAGCACGGCTTTCCCTTTTTGTACAGCGGCTTGCCCAGCACATTGGTGAACGAGTAATTGCACACGTAGTACACGTAGTTGCGCTTGTTTTCCGGGTTCCAGTACTTGCTCACGGCGCAGCCTACCCGTGTAATCCGATCGCTGGCCATCAGTGCAAAGTGGCCGATGTGGACGCTGTGAAAAGTCAAACGAAATGGGATGGGATTAGAAACAAAAAAACATGGATTCAGAGCTGGGTGGCTGGAGTGGGGGTCATTCCATGCAGAATAATTCAAGTTTCTTATTTCAATAGGCTTTCCTGGCCGCTTCTTGGAAACGGATTTCGCCAGCTTTACGGCGTTCTGCATGGAAAATGTATGCAAGAAAGTTTAAGTGGATGCCATCTACCCTAGTAGCACGCTTGTCACAAATAAATTGTAGAAACTTATATACGACTTATTTCAGTCATAAACAAGTTGCTGTAACTTATTGTGATGAAAGTGTGCTACTCGGGTACTGATCTTAAAGCTGCGTTTGATAGAGTTGTGCACGACGTTCTGCTAGCAAAGTTTGACAAATTTGGATGTTCGATTCCTTCTGCAGCTGGCTTGGATCGTACGTCGTGCAACGTGAAGTTACTGCATGCATTGGAAACTACTCATCGTACTGTTTCTCGAACAGATTAGGAGTTCCACAGGGTAGCATTTTGGGACCGCTGTTCTTCTCTTTATTTGTGAACGATGTAACGTTTATTGTACTACGTGGAGCTAAATTGTTTTTCGCCGATGATCTAGTCGTTTGAAGCTTTGGTGACTGTTAAGAACTACAAAATCTTCTGGAAATCTATAATGATTGGTGTGAACGTAATTTTATGGTCCTGTGCGTTAGTTTCCGTCGAACTAGAACCAACAATCAATACGAAACTAACGATTTTAAATTGGCTCACTAGCCTATTGGTCCCAAGCAAACGATTAACGTACCCCATTCTAGTCGAAATTCTAGTACTACACAATGTTTGTTTTGATTCGCTATGATAGTTTGACAGATAAAATGAGGTGTTAGTGGAATTTCCTTTGTTTCGAGGGGTGATTCGATTAGCTTGGGACCGAAGAGAGTACCAGAGCTGAGCCAAAAAGTTGAGCATGTTTCTTCGGGACCTTCTAGTTTTAGAGTTAGCTCTATGCTAGAACTGTCGTTTTGTTTGATTATTACGTTGTTGGGACTGCACCTCCCCTTGGCTAGTTTTTGCACCTCGTTGCTGTTGGTGGGCGAACTTAATTTCATGCTTTATAGTGGAGTGTTGGAGACGGTAGGTTTATGGCCGGCGTTGCTGGCTCATGCCGCGATAGAATGGCGTCATGGGCTGGCAATGGGGATTACTAAGCTTCCCCTCTCTGATGAACCACTGCATGAGAGAACCAAAGATCTAGTCTAGAAGTGATAGTATAACACTTGTTACTCCTTTGTTTGAGAGCCGCGTTGTAGTACGCTAACGTATAGGCACTGGCGTTGGGTGCGATACTGGCGGGTATGGCCGCAAATCACTCTTATTTTATTTATTTTTTACGCAGATAGATTTATTTGGGTTTGCAAGGGAATTATACTATTGAAATATTTCAGATAGTGCCCATCGGTGCTCCTTCTATTTGCGTGACAAGCTTTCATTGTTGTTTTCATTGAGGTATTACTCAGGGAACAATGTTAAACAGCTTTTTGGTACATGGTATTGTAACTAATCTTATATGTGCTTCATTTTGATTTGGGATAAGTATTTGGACTATGGCTCGGGATTTGTGGCGTGCTTCTATTGTGACATACCCATACGTATTTTTGTGATGCGACATAGTGGAAGCGTGTGAGCATAGTTGGAGCATATACACTATATAATTTAAAAATCAGCTAGGACACTAACTTCAAAGTGAAGCATTTTAGTCACTTGAAGGTGTCACCTGGAACGAACAAAGATATAATAAATGAAGATCAAAGTCAAAAGTACTTGAAACACGTTAAATTTTACATTACAAGTCCAGGTACTTTTTAAAGCATGGGTTTGATTAGGTAAATTATGGATTTCAAATATAAATAAAATTAAACGAATTAGATATCATAATCATCAAATGAGCTTCAATAAGAAAATTCAGGAAGTCTAATAACAAAATAGATAGGAAGCGGGGGTCAGCTTAGGAAGACAACTAGAATTTAAAGTTGTAGAAGTAAATCCACCATTTTTATATATTTGTTAATTGCAGGCAATGCCATATTTTCGATCCTTACGAATGAGTGAAATTTCGGGAAGAATGTGTGAAATATGTTGATATGTTTAAGGTGAGAACTAGGGCTGTTGTGATTTAGTATGTTTGCGGTAAGGTAGGATATGTAAACTAAACCCTTTTGAGCAAATTTTCGAAAATCAATTCATGAAATTCATAGACAAGTAATATCCTAATTGAATAATTTGGTTTACCCTTTGTTAACGCATACATATTTATAGGCCCATTCAATTTGGATGTTGAATTGCAAGTTTGCTAGAGATGCTAGAGTAGAGATCCATGCTAGAGATAATCTTGTCTGCTTTTAATCAATAAACAATCTCATACTATTTTCCAAAGTAGACTATCTTTGAAATAAAACATTTTATACAGAATTTTATTTTTAACAATATTGGATACAACGTAGAGTGAATATCACCAGGAAACTAATAGCTCGCTTCTTCTTCTTCTTCTTCTGCCTCGTTTTGTCTTTGCATGTGAAATAAATACATCTGCTAACACGACTCACCGGAGATCTATTGAAGTCATAGGAGACTAACGCAAGCATCTGATTAAAATAGACGTTATGATTTACCATGGAGGGTCAATCTTAGTGAGGCTCACAGAAAAAGACGGGCTCTGCCTTTTCTCAGCAATTAATCATGTTTTGTTGTTTTTGACATCATCCACATCCAGAGAGCCAGTCACTTTCGAATGTATGGGAATGGTAGGAAACCATTTGGAAATGCATGAATATTTTCAGTTTTTATTCATTATCGTCTTTATGAGCAGTTTTTGATGCACAAAAATTGCACGAGTACATTACTATGGAAATAAGGTAAACACTCGTTTATTTGTTTCCCTCTGTGAAAGCATGTTTAGTCACAAATCATGGATTTTCTGATATTCTCCATACTGCAAAAATGATTTTCCTACCACTGAAGGGGCGACATCTCTCGGATCTTCAGTATAGCTACTACTCAAATCATATAATTAATTGTCGACCAGATTTACTATACTGATGTTCGCAGCGAGGAGCATTACAACAAAGTATGGGATCTGCGAAGAAGAGTTGTACGTCACATTAGAAATAATTTGGAATCGTTTCACGAGATTCTGATAGCGGAAGTTACTGATCCGGATATTGTTGCGGTCGGCAATACGCGTAATGGGAAGATTAACCTTTTCCTCTCGAGACACAAAACAACTCCGGAATGAGGAGGAGCTGGAACTATAACAGCGGTTTCAGAAATGCATCGTAAAAGAATCGATGTTTTTTTATGAAAGGGGAACACGCTTCGTTCACTATAAACGGAGTCATAAGTGTTGCCTATAGATTTGCTGCATTTACCAGAAGTTATCGGAATCATTATGACAGTGTAGTGCAAATCATGAGATTAAATGCTGATGTACAAACCCCTTACAGGATAAGGAACTGCGAGATTTTATTGCTCCCAACAGACATGTGGAGGTATGGCAAAGGAACCCTAGAATAAATGCGTCCCAAATTAGCAACGTGTCACGAAATTCCAAGGAATACAACACTCCATTGAATTCTGCATCAATAGTTATCAACAAACTTAAGTTTGCAAGCTGGAATGTCAGGGACTGCTCAACAGAGGACAAACAACAGCAAGATAGGAGACAAGAATTTCAGAATGTTCTTCTACGAAAAAAAAAATTCGTCTGGTATAATGTGAATGACGATGAAAATTCAAATCCCCGAGAGGGAGGAGGCGTTGTACTACCAATACATTAATCTCTACATAAGCATGGACAGTTTAAGAATATCAGTTCTAACACATGTTCATACTTATGCAACGAGATGAGTGAGAAAATCATTTTTATATCCACCTATATTCGACCGGTGACCAACAAAAGCAACGGCGAATTTGCCAACATCATACGATATGTAACAGGACTTCCTCCAAATCTACAGAACAGGATAATTATTATAGGAGACTTTGACGCGCACATTTGCAGCCACGGAATAACAGAAGATGACAAGCGTTTTATCGGGAAGAATCTGCTGTACTAACAATCGAACTTAAATAGCCTATAACTGAAGAACCAATTGCACTGTCTTAAACTCAACGACTACCAAACTTTTGCAAAATCGCAGTTAGTAATAGTTACCTGGTGTAATGAGAGAAGTGAGTCGCAAATAGATCACGTCCTCATAAGCATTATGAACTTCCTCAAATGTCCAGATATTAGGTGTTTCTTCCATCTCCTTAGAGCCAGTGATCATAGAATCATAATTGGAATCATAAAAAATAAAACGAATAAACCAACAACCATGCTTGACTGAAATATAACCATCCGAAAAAGATAGCTACAATCAATACGGAAGCTCTTAAAGACGAAGAAAACAGAGAAAAATGACACAACTTTCTGGACAGGATGTTGAGTACTCAGGGCTCCGAAACGAGAAAAAGTAGAAGGGTCTGTGCCTACGGGCACGAACGGAAGCTTGACGTAGGACCGCTAGTGGACGGAATAACTGTGAAGAGCCTTTAGTTCTTTTAATTGATCAATTATCTATTATCTCAACACTTTCCGTTTTTGAATAGTAGGCGTACCAAATTTGTAGTAATCTTTTTCCAAGAGAAATTTGATTAAGAGAATCAATCAAAATCACTTGCACCCCTGCTTCCAAGTTTGGTTACAAAATTACAACTCTGGAGAGCATTTTGTGTGGTCGTTGAGGGCTTGTGGTTCTGAATATGGACCAACAACCACAGATACATTCTATTCCAACTCTTTACTGATGTAAGCTTGACGGCCCTGAAAAGGGCCGTTTTATTGAAGAGGACATCCATGGCCACTTACGCTTGGCGTGTTTAGTGTAGGTGACAGCATCACGGACCTCATTTTTCAGGAACACCTTCAGCACACCTCGTAGATCAGACCGGAGATACGTTTGACACCACCACGGCGAGCCAG